GGCCGGTAAAGCACTCCTCGTATTTTCTCATGAAAATACGAGACCTTCTGAGTGCTTTATCTTTAAGATCTTTTGTCATCACCTTTGCATGGGTCCCATCTCATTGCTCGATTCTGGGCAATGAGAAGGCGGACTCACTTGCTAAGGTGGGCGCTATGCAAGGCGATATTTACGATCGACAAATCGCCTACAATGAATTTTTCTTCATTTATCGTCAACAGTCGCTCGCCAGCTGGCAAAATAAATGGAGTGAAGGAAGTTTGGGACGATGGCTATTCTCGATCATCCCTAAGGTGTCGAAGAGTCCTTGGTTCAAGGGGTTGGATGTGGGTCGAGACTTCATTCGTCTGATGTCTCGCCTCATGTCCAATCACTATTCGTTAAACGCTCACTTGTTTCGTGTTGGGCTGGGAGACAGCAATCTCTGTGAATGTGGACAAGGTTACCAAGACGCCGATCACATCCTTTGGTCTTGTGCTGAGCATCGTGGAGTCAGATCTGAGCTGTGCGATTCCCTTCGGGCTCGAGGTAGACAACCTAATGTTCCAGTTCGGGATATTTTGGCTAGACGTGATCTGGAGTTTATGAAACTCATATATGTTTACTCTAAGAATACTAACCTTAGATTGTAAGTTTGATTAACCTTGTGTTTAGTTTGTGTATTGTGCGTGTAGTTTTTTTTAATGTTTGTCTTCAAGATGAATAGAAATAAGTTCATGTTTTAGGATTAATTAAATATTTGTATAATAAATCATATTTCAAACCTCCTTCTCCCTTTCCCCATCCAAAAAATTGTAAATCTCCACTAACCTCGAGACGACCGCGAGTAATCGGTTCAATTCCTTTAACTCTAGATTTAAGACATTAATCATGTATAATGCAAATGATAACTCGGCTCTGTAAAGTTTATTCGATTGAGCCTGTACAAATAAATTAATATAAAAAAAAAAAAAAACCTTGACACTACCAACTGTGCTACGCCAACACTTTGAACTTATGTAAACAAATCAACATTCGCTTCTACAACAAAATCGCTGAGTAGAGGCTTTATAATAGTACACATGAATCACTTTTCTCGACTGGTTATAAAAGAGCAGAGTAAAAGCTGTAAAACTGCACACATCTAAAAATAAACCTAGTTGACTGAAAATGAAAATGCTTTCGAAGTTGCTCTTACACAGTTTATTAGCTGAGTACAGGTTGTTTAGTTGTTGAAAAAGCACTTTTGATGTTTATGTTATTCAACAAGAGTGGTTGGTTGTGTAGAAGCCATCAAATGAGTAATATATTCACTTTGTTAGCTTTGTTTTGCAGCTACAAGTTGAAAGTTGATTAGTGTGTGTATAGAAGTGACATTAGCGTTTATTGGCTGGTGTTATTCAGTGCGACTGACAAAGTGAATAATGGTTGTGAGAAAGTTGAGTAAACGCTCTCCAAAAATATTTTGCTAGCTTTTGCTTGTAGCTGTATCTGCAGCTTCTTTTCAGCTACTTTACAGCACAACGCTGGAAAAGTTGGCTTTCAAAGATGAAAATGTTAGTTGGGTTATGTGTCTAATGAAATCTATATTATTATTCACATATAATTTATTATGTTATGTGATATTCAGATACAAATCATTATTTTGTGATTGGAAAAATATGATGTGCTTTCCCAATAGTAACTATGTGAAAACTTTTTCAGTGCAAGACATCAAAGACCTACACTCAAAGAATAAATCACATATCCAATGGAAAATATTCATTAGTATTTAACATAAATTTCATGTGATATCATACTTGGGACTGCTCCGCAAAATCACATGAACCTTATGTGACAAAAGAAATTTAAGTGATTTATCATATAGATCTCATGTGATTACATGAATGTTATGAGACATTCAGATAGATATCATTGGTTTTGATAATGGAAAAATATTAAGTGCATTCCCAAAGGAACCTACATGAAAACTTTGTGTGGCAGGATGTGGCCGATCTTTACCCTACTCTTCGGCTGTGCCTCACCACCAACTAGTCAAATGGTCATCTACACTAATAGAATTCCACACATTTTCATTGACGAATTTCCATGTACAATTCCACATGATTTTCATGTGACCACACATAAACAGAATCCACCCAGAAGCACACATGAAATTTATGAGTCAAATGAATAGTATGTGTGGTTACACATGGCTTTTATGTATACACATATTAAGTATGTGTCCGACACATCGATATCATTTGTTTGACCACACATAAACAGAATATACACGGAGGTACACTTGAAATTTATGTGTCAAATGAATAATATGTATGGTCACACATGGCTTTTATGTGTATACATATTATGTATGTGTCCACATAGATATCATTTGTTGATCACATTGCAAAAATTTATGTGTGGGTCACATAAAAACAATCTTTGAAACTTTATCAGTGTATAGACCAAGCTCACTTAAACTATCAAAATTCACTTTTTACACCACAGTTTTAACCAAGTTTATTGCACTCACTTGAAAATAACTACAATTTTAATTTTTGATCTTCACTTCTTCAGCTACTGATAAGGAATGTTGTTTTTTTTATTACTGATACTGTCAAATTCCAAATAACTTTCATGTGATCTCATAATTGGTAATCGCACCACGAAACCACATGAACCTTATGTGTCCAATGAAGTTTATGTGATCTATCACATAGAATTCATGTGATCATATGAATGTTATGTAAATTTCAGATAAAAATCATTAATTTTGTTATTGGAAAAATATCATGTGCGTTCCCAATGAAAACTATATGAAAACTTTTTTCAGTGTAATAGGAACAGCTGATGATTATGGTCGGAATATTCATAGTCTGGCGAATATAATTTCGGATCTACCAAAAAGCGGAACCAATTCAATATATTTTAGAACAACAGTTGAAAAGGTACTATCAACTTTTATAAACATAACGTTGATTATTCTTTCCTCGCCAATCGAGCGCAAACGACCGGCATCATCGGATAGGGGAAACATTTTCCAACCCAAAGATAGTGTTAGTTTGCGTAGGCGAGCCTTGAGTCACGAGAAAAGGGTTTCCGAAGTTTTATTCGCAATAGCTGATGTGCTCTTTTCTGTTGTTTGTCGTGATTTGCTCGATTGGTTCCGCTATTTGACAGCTCAATTGGTTCCCGAGATTCTATCCACCAGACTATGAATATAACGATTGTACTGATGCGTACACACTAAGATTTTTTTACAGGAGTTAGTATTTTTTTTATTGGGTTTTTGAATTGCTGAAAAAGTCGGTAAAAATTCAAATGACCGTTATCCGTGAGGAATCAATGAAATCGACCAATTTCATTTTCTATCATTAAATGGGGTTAACAGAACTAAGTATGTACAAGTTCAGAACAAATATTCTCATTAATAAATTTTTCACAGATTTTTAAACTTTTAACGAACAGTTCCGCAATTCAAAAACTCGGTAAAACCGTACTGACTCGATTAGTGTGTATGTATTCTAAACTGCACAAAATAAATAAACAGCGATCGCTAAACTAACGAAGAGTTCACACTAGAGTAGGATTCTGCTAAGCTCTATACCCGCCACTGAACAATGATTTTTATCTGAATATTACATAACATTATAAATTCTATATGAATAATCATATATACTTCATTGGAGACATAAGGTTCATGTGATTTAGTGGTGCAATTTCCAATTATGGGATCACATGAAAGTTATGTGAAATTCACATGGATATTTTACACTGGTTATGTGATTTGTTTTATCAGTGTATGACTTACAAAAAGTAGGCCTACGAAAATAACAATTTTTAACGTATATATAGGTGAGAGTCTACACTAAGGAAATGTCAAAGATTGCATTCAGAGTGTTTTTATGTTACTTCATACGCAAAGTTTGCGATTTTCAGAGTTAGTTGGAAATGCTATCTAACATGAAGCTTTAGTGTGATCATTTATTAGCTAGAGAATGGTCTTAGAAGAGGGTAGGTATATAGTTCCGTTAGAGTATGGTAGTATGAAAATTTAATAGAAGTTGAAAATGAGCGAAGGGCCATTAATGCGACAGTGCAAGTCAAACGCACACTCTTTGCTTAACCCGTACGATGTACGCAGAAATTTGAAGTACATATGTCTTCAAACCTACAGGCAAAAAGTGTGCACTTGTCTTTGCTCAAATACTGTCTGCGAGAAATAGTTCTAGCGACGTTTCATCACTGCCTAAAAGTTGCCGAACGGAACTATCTACCTACCCTCTTCTAAGACCATTCTCTAGCTAATAAATTCTCACACTAAATCTTCATATTAGATAGCATTTCCAACCAACTCTTCAAAGATTGCTTTTATGTGTCCCACACATGAATTTTTGCATTGTGATCAACAAATGATATCTATGTACACATAAAAGCCATGTGTGACCATACATATTATTCATTTGACACATAAATTTCAAGTGTATATTCTGTTTATGTGTGGTCACGTAAGATGGAGCAACCATCAGGTGGAAGAAAACCTACAAAGCATTTCGCAATTTTACCAGGTTTTCCTTGAAATGAAACATACGCACTACAAAATGTGGCTGATTTCGAGTTGCCGATAATAGAACAGCAGGTTAACACGGAGTTCAAATGGAAAGGTTGCCAAAGAAAAAGAGGTTACTGACAATAGTCACACTCACCTGAGAAGTTTAGAGCGTTGTATAAACGTTTTCAAACAGTTTTGGTCAATTTTGTCGATTGAAAGGGATAGAGTAGTAAGGAGCAAATAAATGTAAACAAACAAACACGTAAAACCTGTGCGTGATTCTGAGAAAACTGACGATAATACGTAAATTCCCCTATATAATATAATATGAGGTCCACAAGTTTTTCGATTATTTTAAAACCACGCATTTTCCAATACACGTACACGTACTATCACAAATTCTAAGACACCCTCCTCACCCTAAGACTGGACGTCATATCGCCCCTAGATAATTTCTTTCTACAAATGCGTACGCTTTAAGTTGCTATTGTTTTGAAATTGTGTATTTTGCTGAAAAACATAATTTGATTACAATAATATTTGTATCTTTTAATAGTTATTTCAGTTTACTCCTCGTTCAAATGAACGCTTATGCTCCGGCTTTGTTATCTCTGCTTAGGAATCGATCGTTTCAAGCATCAATATATTTTGGAACTAACATAAAGTATAAACCCAGCGCAAAATTTGTGATTAAGTATTGAAAAAAAAAAGAAAATTGTTTAATCAAACCAGAACGATGTTCCCACAGTATTGGTACGCGAGGATCCAGGAAACCAACAGAAACATTTTCAAATGGTGATAATTAGGCGCAAATAATTTCAACCGATCGTTTGTAAATTGAGATAGGTTGCATTCAGAATTGACCATTTATGTTCTCTTCATATCGAAATAGGTATGCAAACATCGTTTTGTTATGGAGATCTGAACAGTTATTTTTTACTCTACTCTCTGTTTTGTGATTACTTACTACGATATTACGTAATTATCATTTTTTATGATCAGCTTTTTTTTCTGTAATTTCAAATGGCAATCAAATAAACATGTTGTAGTTAAAATTTTGAATAGGGAATTCAGTTGGTTTGATTTTGCATCCATTTGGGAAAACACACACATTTAAATATCATCAATGTTGAGATCGCCAACATCCTCTTCCTCATCGATCGGTTTGGTAGATTTCTTGACCTCTTGCTTAACAGGTTCTTTGCGGAGTGAGTCGGTTTTGGCACGATCGTCATACTCGATCTCGACATCGGAGTCATCGTCGTCATCGGATGATTCTTCTTCTTCAGCTTCCTGGAGCCATTTGATGAATGGATTGGCCTTCTCGTGGATCTGAGCAGCTACTTCTTTAGAGACATATTTCTTGCTCACCTTCTGAGACCACTCGAGGATAGGTTTCTCTTCCAGGATATCGGTATCGTAGAACAATTTCAAAATGCCAGGAACCTTATCCATAAGTTTATCAGCATGCAGAGAGATAATTTGCTCTAGACCACCGATAAAGTATTTTTGAGCCTTGGGATCTTCATGGGTGAAACGGAGCAACAATTTTCGGTGTTTGCGAGCTTCTTGGACAATGTTTGCGGTAAACAGCAACTCAGCCAGCACGAGTGTTGATTTAGACTGGACATCGAGGAGGCCTGCTTCCGTATAGAGTTCCTTGTGTGTTTGGACATTTTCAATCTCTCCAGAGTCGCGCTTCTTTTTCACCAGTCCATAGAAAATGTCCAAGCGCTCCTTTTCGGTTTTGTCAAAATCATCCGAAACTGTCATGTTCTTGGCTCCATCTGTCAGATCTTGCATACGGGCGCGGACAGCTTCCTCCGAGGTATCTACCGTCCAGTTGACGTTGTCATCGTCATCCCCATTAAGAGCGCCTGCCTGACCATCGATAGTATCATCAGCAGCAGAGCCATCCGCAGTGCTATCATTACCAGCGTTCGAATCGTCACCATTCTCTCCCTTCTTGGAGCGATGCCGACGTTTTCCCTCGGTAAGGGAGGCTCCCTGACTTGCCGGGTTTACATTCGGTGGATTCTTGATAATGAAAGTATTTACCTTGTGATTTACCTCCAGCGGACCGTGGAATCCACACGCCTTGCAACCCTGCGAGATGGTGCCCTTTTTCGAGGACACAATCAGATCCGTTTCGGGGTTGTCACATTCCGGGCAAAGCACATACCTGCGAATGAAGCCATCAAGAAGGTCTTGTAGCTTGTTGGCATCATGGGATCCATTGACGATGAAACGTTCGTTCTGTAAAAGGTAGCGCATAGAAAATTGAAAATTGATTATTGTAAGTTTAATTTAAGATTTAAGTTAACGTTTTATTTTTACTCAGAAATTTATCAATCAAATTCTACAACTAGATACATTAAGATCGGTCATATACATATCCATATGCTGGAGTTGCTAGAACCTGAAGTGAATCAAAGCCCGAGCTGTCGATGTTATCAGATGCCTATATCAACAGAAATGCGAGAATGTAAGTGAAGATAGCTCGGCCACCCATGACGAAAGGGCGGAGACTAAATATGCAGGCAAATGCTGAATTGTAACTCGGGTCCTCGAGGCATGGTTATACCAGCTACCAGAGTTGCGGCAATGCACACGAGCTGGGTACAGCTTTCATCGATATGGGCTAGATGAAAAAGCGCGTAATTTCGAGATGGCCAACAGAATGCGCTAATTCAGGATCTATTTTTTCGCCTCCTCGTGAGCTTATGATTTTTTGAAAAACAAATATCTCATCTGGTGACGCAGACGAGACGTTTTTTACCCCGTAATTCTTTGTTTCATCGAGCTGGAATAAGCCAAGAGAGGTGAACGCTCAAAATAAATACCATAAATTCAAGGAATATCCGAAAAAACATCTTTCAGACCTTTGACATAAATTTAATTATAAGCTAATAGGATTGTGTCACGTATGGCCTAATAATGACCATGACCAAATGACCAAATGACCTACAACCAATTGCTTCTATGACATCTATTAAGGGTTTACCGCCCCGAGAATATTTTTTTTCGGCACGTTTTTATTTTTCTAAAAATATTGGGAAAAAATATCAAAAATATAAAAAATTCCTCAGAAAACTTACCTGGATTTTTTTTTTATCTCATCATGAAAACAAATTGGACCCTCAGCAAAACCGAAAAGTAGATGTTTTGTGGTTTTTTGAGTCCAACTTTATGCCATAATGACACATAAAAAATGCTTTTGCACGTGAATTTTCATTAAAAAATTAGGAAAAATTTGATTTTTTAAAGATTTTTACCATTTTTTTATAAATGGTTGCAAGGTAATGTTATTAACTGTTCAAATAAAGTTTAAATCACTACCTCCAAGCCGAATCTCATTCACTCCTGTCCGCAGTGAACTTTTTAATTGTGTGTTTGTTGGCTCTCCGAGAAAGTTAACGGATTCAAAGCGGTATGAGTCATCGATTGACCAAATATTTTTGTTAGCTCTTTCTATGTTTCTACGGGAAGCGAATGGAATTGTGCGGTACTATCGTAATAAGCTTGAACTGCCTAAAATTTAACGTTTGGGATATAGGGGGATATTTGGGATATTTTATTAGCAAAGTTGGTCGATTCCACTATGTCAAATCTAGCATTCCAATGTAAACTAAATTAGTTTTTTTTTTCACTCATAAACTTTTATTAGCATAGATTAAACAACATAGAACATTTTCTAATCGCATGAGATTATATTTTCAAGACCTACCAAGTTTTTTTTTTGTAACGAAAACAATATTTGATGGGGTCAGAAGGAAAAGGATACAAGTGACAAACATAAATGAACACTATTGTAATATACTATTGACCGAACACACTTATAAACACTTATAAACGCAACACGTATATAAAATCGATAACTGCCATTTTCACATGTTTTTTTTCATGATTGTCACTTGCACCTCTTTCTTTCTAACCCCCTTATTTGTAAGGATCCAATAAACTTGCTATCTAAAAATCAGTTCCAACATAATGTTTCAACACAAACCTTTTTTACAACATCACTTTTCCCAATCTATCAAAAACTAAAGGATAGTTGAGAATCGCTACCCGAGCAAAGTCGGTTAACAAAATGCCGTTGAATTAACAATTGTTGTCAATTCGTTTTGTATAACACATTTTAGGTCATTCGTGACTTGTCCGGGTGAGATTTGAACTCAAGTCTTTTAGCGTGAGAAGCATGGATGCTAAAAATTTAAACCAGACCCGTATTCAGTTAAATATTATGAATGTAAAATCAGTGATTTCATTGAAAGCAGGATCAGTTTTCCGTTTGATTCAACCATGTAAAATTTTGCTCTCATTATTGCCAACCAAAATGAAATCAACTGGAGTATTCAAAATAAATTACATAAATTACAGCAAATTTTGATTTTAATTTGATCTCCAGCTTTGCTCAGGTTGCGTGCCCAGTGAGGCGACGGGAAGTGGTAAACTCGCTCTAGATTGCTAACCGAGCCAACGGAGTCAATGTTGTGCCATTTTGGGAAATAATGAAGACGGAACTTCGCAAACATCCCGACACTATTAAAACAGAGCTGGAGTTTTTGACTTTGAATGATCTATATTTCTTGTATTTGTTTAGTTTACATGGAGTTGGAGCTGGAGTTGAAGAAAATTTGGATAAAAACAACAAAAACACTGGGAAAATCGGTTGTACAACATTTGATGGGTGGAGTGAAAAGGAAGGTCCGGGCATTCGGGATGGGTGACTAAATTGAATAAAACAAATTTTGTAAAGCATAACTCATTACTAGTTTTTCGTTCCCTGAAAATTTCAAGAAAATCCAATAATCTGTTTAATTTTGGTTTGCTGTCTTGGGCCCGCTGTCACGTATGATATGTTGCCTACGCGTTAATGATGTCCTATCATTGTCCTGGAGACTCAAACTCGTAAAAATCATCCATGCACCGTACGCAAATTCAATATCTCAGACATAGATAAATTTTCTAGGTTCTGTGTCATGAACAATTTTCAAGGTTCTAAAATAACAAGAATATTAAAAGTATCGGTCATCAGACATCGGAACACTTTTTAAGATTGCAAGAAGTTACAAAAAATCACGTGACTTAGGAATTGTTAAGAATTTTTACTGGAAAATTTAAGAATATCTTGGACAATTTTAGACTTGAAAAATTTCCGAAACATTGGACATTGCTGTTTATTTTAAAACTCAGACTTTCTTGTTCGGTATCCTGTTCTAAGGAACAGTTCAGAATTGCGAGCTTGAAGAAATTGATTGATTTATCTTTATTAGGGAGGCTTTCAGCCTGGGGCTGGTTCGCCTCCAATAAGCTTGAAGAAATATTCAGGATTGTTAGTGAAATATTCGGGATGTCGATTTTTAATATAACCGAATTTAATGAAAATATGTACCGGAAAGTATCTAAAACCCTTATTTCGCGTAATTTTGCAAAATTCAAAAATAATGTGTAATGTGGATATTTGAAATTCAGCTGAATATGTAGAAACGTATAGGCATTATTTACTAATGTATGGGAAAACATAAAGTTAGAAAAAAAAATCAGCATACACTACACATATTGGCAAAATGAGCGGAGTTAGGCACCGTGCGAAATTATGGTACTGCACGGTAAAGGTCCGGTTGTTTTCGAATTCCGGGTTACCCGGTTAACCCTGCACATGGCACTTTTAAACTGGCTTACTGATGGGAAATTGCTCAAGTAGATGTCGTTTGAAGCAGGTGCAACATTTTATATCTATCACTTCTGTACCATAGAACTATAAACGACACTTACCTTATAATCAAACTGAGTTTGCGCACCCAGCTCACAACCAAAGTATTTGGTTGGGTAGGTAGCCGGGCGCCCGATAGCTCGTGCAACGTCAGCCATGTTGACGATGACCGTCTTAATGCCGTTGCCTTTTCCTTCGACCTTGGCATTGATCCGGGGCATCTTGTAACGGTAGAACACATCCGTAACATTACGGTTAACGTTTACGGTACCCATGGTGATAGTCTTGATACTCTCGATTCAAACAGATGACACCTTGGAACAAACGAAACAAATTTATCACTTCGAAATTTACCTATGACAAGCTATGATGATAAAACTTACACACAGTAAGAACAAATTCTTTTATCGATATTCAAGATTTGCTTCTCAGAACGATCTGTACTATATCTCTCTTAAGATTGAATGCTCTCTGGAATGACACACGTGTTCGACTATTTTGGTTGCTGCCAACTCACTGTCGCCCTGTAAGCTTATCGTCCTTAGCAATCCTGATCGCAAGCTAAATTCATCTGATGCTGTTGATGGTGCGGGATAGTATGAGCGCACTGTCGCTGCGTAAGTTCGCAACGGTTAGGTTTTACTACGATATTGCCAATGGGGGTAATTGAATCTCCGTCGCCGATTTGTGGTACCACGGTTGGTATCAAAAGCATTTGTATATTGATTATGGATTCGTATCTTCTGCTGACGCGCAATGATGAAAGTTCTCGATCTGGTTCGAGTTGACTTAACTGTGCGATACTGCTGCTAATTCAAATATGTGTGGGTGGATTTTGTTTCCGTAGACTACGATAGAACTTGACGCGTTCGAATTGCTTACTGCAGCGGTTATCTAGAAACGGCACACACATAAAAAAAATCAAAACAAAAATAAAATAAGAAACGCAGCTTACTTAAGGATAAACAAATTCGTATTATAACATAAATAGCGTAACTGGAGAAAATGCTGAAATAACGAAACCAAAGGTAAACTTAAGGATGCGATAAACTAATGGGCAATTCTGGAGAACCAATCTCGCTGCTGTCCCACTTGAATGTTTCACACAGTTTTAAACACATACACGCACTGAATGTTGAAGCATAATACGCTTTCTCGGAATTAGACGGTGATTTGAACCGTGCAAGAGTTGGATTTAGCTTGATCTTGGTTGTTATTTACAGCGTTTCCGGTGTCAGTTTACGAATAGTCACCTCTCACTAAACTGCTAGCGTAAACGGATATCTCTGTTGTGGTTGTTGTTGTTGATTCTGCTGACAAGTTTTCGATAAGCAAAGTGTCCTTTGAACGACAGGATCTTCACGTTTCTCTAAATGGTTGCAGCTTCCGATGTCTATTGCTAGAATATTTAGAAGTCCTAGAATGGAAACGAATGAATTAGGTAGAAAGACTAACAGCGATCTTGTTGTTCACACTACATACCTGTGACTTACGCTACGCTGTTGAGAAATCATGCACAATGTACCACTTAAACTCCGTAAGAGGGGAGAAAGCGGTGCTCCTTTGAGTGCTGGTGTTTCTAGAAATGATATAAAAAGAAAGAACAATATTTAAAACAAACTTTTTTCAAAATATTAGTTTGTAAGTCTACAAGTATACATTAATCGACTGAGTTCGACGATATCGAAAAATTTATGTGAGTGCTCATGTGACTTTTCTCGGAGATGGTTAAACCGATTGCAGTTTCAGTTTCAATTTATTCCTATCTGGATCCCATAGAAACCTGTCGAATGTTATCCCGATCGAACATTTGGTTCCGTAGACATGACCAAAACCTTAATTTTGATTTGCAGTCTTCGACAGAGTTGTAGTATTCTCAATCCAAGTCTGAGATTTGGTGAAATTTGAGCAATATTTGGATTTTTGGTAAGCAAACGTTTCCCATACAAAATTTAAAATCGTCTCGCAAATCGAGATTACAACCAAATTTGTTCAAATCTTGCACAGTTGTTAAGGACCTCAGCAGAGCAGTGAGGAACAGGGAGTTGTAAAGTTGACCCACCCTTGAATCAATAACAGTCCGGAAATTTAGAAATTTGGAAAAATTTAAATTTCCTGGATTTAATCACATTGAATTTTTAATAATTCTCCCTGGAATTCACTCAAAATTTTCATGGAAAACCTTTTAAAATGATCCTACAATTTTCTTCAGCATTGCATTAGAATTGTGCTTAGAATTATCGTGGAATCCTCCTGAACATTCTTCTCATTCCATATGAAGGAGCTTTCCTAAGAATTCTTTTAGAAATGCACGGAGAAATCGATCTCTTGGAATTCTTTTCAAAATTCTCTTAACACTCTCCTCAATTTTGGTTTGTTTTTTAGTATGTCTTCAGAATTTCCTTGAATTTCTTAAACATTCTTTAAACCAGTCTTCATGGTACAGCCTAACACCGATGGGCAAGCAGGCTATTGAATTTACATGAACATTCATTCTGAGTTCACGCATACACTTCATCAAACGAACACACACACCTTAACATGATTACAATATTTATGTGCGTACATCGCTTACTTCAAACTCGAACTCAAGTGCAGCAACCAAATGGAAATAATGAATGATGTTAAAGGAATTATAAAAAGGACCAAGTCTGGCTCGAACAATGAACTTTAAGTGTATTTGACCTGAATGTTCACCACTCATTTGTCACTACTCTGAAAGATGTGTAGGCTAAAGCGAAGACATCATATCAAGAAGACTGGCAACTTTGCCAGAATCCAAGCGACAGATGGAATAGCGCTGCGCTTGAGTGAAGGTGTAAGCATCGCATAGAAAAATAAGCAAATACACAAACCTTTATTCTGAGGATGGAACCTTTACCAATTCGTTCGAAGCATTTACCTTTGAGCGGCAGATGTCTCATAGCGTTCGTATGAGAAAATGAAAGAGTTGCCATTCGATTGGTTGTCTTCGGCTAAAGGCATATGAGAAGCGTTCATCGAATTTGTCTGCTCTTTCTGTTGCAACATAGCAAGCCTCGATGTTCACACTTGGGTACAGGTACAAAGCAATGTTGGAAAAATATCAAGCTTAATCTCACCAGCTGCAAATCTCGCCAAACTGTGGTTTGGCTGATTTATGGGGTGTTTACACTTATGCTATTTCACTAGACGGAGACGAGCCAGCCAACGGCTGAAAGTCTCCTTAATAAAGATATAAAAAAAAAAAAATATTTCACTAGTAAAAAAGCTCACTAGCATAATGTAAACGCGTAATAGCATGATATTTTGCCCCAATATCACACGATGAGTTCGAAAGACAACACGTGCGTTCAATGAACGCGTACTGCATAAACTGGAACTCAAACTTAACGCCGTATGTGTTTCGCGAAGACTGCTTTTTTCAACTTTAAAATTTTAATAATTATTTGCAAAAGTCTCTGAAAGTCTTGACATCCCTAATGGTCTTATAATCCAGATTTAATGCCATACTTGAATCGGTTGAAAAATGTACATAATTTTCGAGTTTACTCTATAGCTTATGCAATATTTTGATAATTGTTTATGTTTTGAGAGTTGGTACACAGATTGATTGAAGTTGAGGCGTCGCCACTGTAATAATCCTGAGCAAATTTTTTCAAGTCTTAGAGTTATAAAAATTCCATGAAGTCTACAGATCTTACAGACTACTTACTTTACTTAAGTGGTGCAAAAGGCCCACAATAGAAAGTATACTGTCTATAATCGTATATCAGTCCCATATGGAAAAAGTAGGCATCGAGAAAAGAGCAGTTGAAGATAAGAAATGCAATTTCCATGTTAATATTTAAAAAATCATAGAAAATTAATCGATAATTTTGTCAACTTAAAATCAGTTGCAATGCAGCTTGCATGATTTGTTATATCAGTGTAAAATATGGCGATTCAAAAAGCAGAACTGTAACTTGACCTCTGGACGATTGAATTTCAGGATAAGACTGATATGCGATTATTTTGCTTGATGGGACAAAGTGAATTGTTGTTGTTTTCACAATTTTCATGATCAAAGTCCGTAGTTTTATAACGTAATATGAAACCATATGGGACTGACAAATCTAGCACAGGAATCCACTTTGATCTACTTTAAGATCAGAAAGTATTGCGACGACTGTCACTTACTTTAATTTTTTATAGGATGCTAAAACTGAACGACTCGGAACTGACAACAGCAGTAGAAATAAAAAAAAGGAGAGAAACTAAAAGAATATGTTAAACGTTCAAACCAACTGAACAATAAGATCGGAAATCACTGAGTTAGTCGTGTTTGGTTCAGATTGATTTTATGTATAAAAACATAGTACTTATCTCTATCACAATTATATTTAAAGCTGGGATTGATTTGATTGATCTAGCTACGTGTAAATATACTTGAAAGCGACTCAGCAAATAGCCAAAGCATATTAACTTGTAAATTTTCACTCGATTCTGCACGTCGCAATCGTTAATCCAATTTATTCGAATAAAAATCTTGAAAAGAACAATAATACTAAACCCTTAGTTGAAGTTAATTCTGTTCAACTTGCAGCACATTTCTAGTTGCGTAGAAGTTTTTGTTTGAACGAAATGATTATTATTAGTATATTAGTATAGTAGATTATGTTTTAAAACATGTGCCAAAATCACTTATGTCAAATTCAGAAACTGTTGAAATCATTGAAACAAGATTATTTTCCTGGCGGGATCTTTTCCCGATTTTTCCTGGTGAAAATAAAATCCCTATATTGTACCACCCTTCTTCCTTCTTTCAAACATGAGCGGTTCTTCCGATCCGTGAAAGGTCATGAAAGTACAGCTTATGTTTCAAAGAAGGAAAAAACGTGGGCATTAAAATTAAGGAAAAATACCGTTTTAGATGATTTTGTGAAAGAACAAGCAGGAATTAAAAAAGGATAATCACTGATAGTAAATTAGCTCTTAGTTTCAAAAATATATACAATAGGGTGGTTCAAAATATCTATTTTGCTCCACCAAGCCCAATCGATATCAAATCAGGTCCGGATAATTTTCCTAAAATCTGAGCTCATTTGGATGCGAACTGTGAACTGCACTCTATGAAGTTTATATGGGACTTCGTTCTAGCCCTTTGCTGTAATTGGAAAAGTTTGCAAAAAAGTTCGTTTTTGGCAAATAATGTAATGCATACGAAAAACGAGATCCCACTGAACAACAAATTTCCTAAACAATTATTCTGATATTAGTTTAGCAGATGACGGTTCAAAGAGCTTAGTTTTTCACTGATACTAAAAATACGGGAACTAGGGGCAAGAAGGTCACCCTAACGATAGCGCGTTTTTAGATGTGATTCCGTGAATATTTATAGGAGTTTGTGAATCGAATTGTAAGTTTATAACCTTGTCTCCATGTATCATCATTGAAATTAAAATTAAACCCCATCAAAAAATGTTCATGATTTTTTCAAAATGTCATGTCGAACCTGCTCTAAAAAATGCTACGGGGCAAGAGGGCCACTCTTATGGGGCAAAAAGACCATATGTCTAAAATGAAGTGAAACTGATAAATGTTCATTTCTAAACAACAAATTACTATTCTTAGGTATAACAGCAACTGCTTTTATTGTTTATTCCACTAAAATATTGACTTAACGATATATTTTTTTATATCTAAAACATATAAACCATGTGCGTCAAAGATTCAAATGGAAACTATTTTTGATACTATTTTATACAGTTTGTTTTCCAAAATTTCACGAAAACAATGTATATTGGAAACGTAAATGCCCAATTGTGTTAATTTCTGAACATTTTTGTACAATTTAATACATAAATGTAGGGGTGGCACTCTTGCCCCGTATAAAGTTTATTTTTAGGAATATTATTTTTGATTAATTAAACAAAATATTTAATAATTTATTGTTATTAATGTATCAAACAACCGTCAATAGTGATGTCTCAATGCAGAAATTGTGAAAAAATAAATAAATTGGAAATTCCGAAAACCTTATTTTATGATGCCTATTCTTATAAAAAAACTAGCTTTTCAATGCATCAACACAAAATGATTTTTTGTATTTTTTTACGACTTCGATTCGGACAGAACTTTTTAGAATGCTACATAGGAATACCGTGCATAGGTTCATCGTGAGATTAAATTGAAATGATTTCATTTTCAAAATATATTGAGGGTGGCACTCTTGCCCCTAGTTCCCCTACAACCATGTAAAGTAAAGTCACGTAGTTTTTCATTTCGTCAACCAACGTACACTAGTACAACCGTAGGGGTCAAACATTCGTTTTCCAGTATGAGTCATCGCTAAATGATCCATTTTTACATTTGAAACCGTGCACATGTTGAGAATGTAAAGTTACACCGTAAGTTGAACAACATTTGAGTACATCAAATTTGTTAACTTTTATGGAAATTCTGTCATGAGAGAGCGACTAAAATATGTATTCTTTTGTCTTAGAGTAAATTACCGTCATCGCATTAGTGAGCGATGCGTGACGCTGATATACTAGCACCGTTTTTTACACGCTATTTAAAAACTACCCAAAGTGTGACAAGTTGACAAATGAACATAGT